GGGGCACCCCCCCCATAAAAAAAAACCCCCAAAAAAAAAAAAAAAAAAAAAAAGAAATGCTAGCTCCAGAACTTAAAAAAAAAAAAAAAGCAAAAGTCAACACTGTCAGACTAGCGTTTAATTTTTGAGGTTGCAGAAGTATTTTTCTAATAATAAACATAATTACTTACAGTTCAGAAGTGGTTGCATACAAGAAATGTCAGATAAGAGAAAAGTGCTTTTTGGTGGCAGCAGGTACTTCTGTCCCATTAAAGTAATCATTTTTGTAAATCCAGAGTTGTTTTCAACAATGCGAGAAAATAAATCCTGCTCTGTAAAAGATATATCACCTTCCATCAATTTTAATGTCTGAAGTCCAATTTCATTCTGAGATAGCAAATGCTTTGCCATTTCACATAATTCTGACAAACTGCAGGAATCAAGAGGTGACGCAATGGGCTTTTTTTGGTCCTGTTTTTCAAAGCATGGGTAAAGAAAACCACTTTTGAGACCTTCTTGGATTAACTGTATAGATCCATCCAAAATCAGCTCTCTGATCTATAAGAGAAATTTTTAAAGTACATTAAAATGATACATTAAAACAATTTTCTAAATAATAAAATTCTTACTGTGCTTTTAACATTTGAGTTTATAATTAAAATCAACCTTTTTTCTTTATTCATGATATAGTATCTTCATTCGTAATAGAGCATGTACACACACACACACACACACACACACACACAGAGGGGAAAAAGAGAGAGAGAAAGAGAGAGGAGATCCCCTTCCTCCAGTCCTCAAGTCCAGCAGCTATGGGACACTTGTGTATGTATGCCCAGAATGTTTCAGTCTGACTGGATTGGGGATTTGAACCACAGTACCTATGTGGGAACTGGCTTCTCTTGAGTAGCACATTACCACTGTACCACGGAGCCAGCCCAAAATCAATATTCTTAATGCTTATGTTAAAATAATTGTATATTTCAAGGATAAAACAGAATATGCAAGTATATCTTTGAACTGCTGTTTCCTAATTGTAAAATGAAACAAATCTCACACATTCACTGACAAATAACCAAACTAAATATGTACAGAAAATATACTCTTAAAAATCTATAAGATTGGGACCAGCAGTTAGCGTAATGGCTATGTCGCTGGGCTCCCATGTAGTCGATCGTGGTTCAAGTCCCAGACCTGGTGGCTTAAACTCATGCCGGGCGCATGTGTGTGTGTGTGTGCCCAAGATCCCAAGAGGAAAATGGAGGAGAAGGGATTGTGGCATGGCCATCCCCCCTAGGGGGTGATTTCTCGCTTTCTGTCTCACTGTCTGTCTGGCGAGTGCACACGCCCTATAGCAAAAAGTTCTCCTAAAAAAAAAAAAAAAGAAAGAAAGAAAGAAAAAAAAATCTAAAAGGTTAATTTGATAATCAGAATGTTTCTAAAACAAAATGAAATGCTAATCTATGAAGACAATTAATTTTGAGTCACAACATTTAACCTTAGGCTTTTCTAGTGATCTAACTTTAAAATAAACAAATTTTCATTCTATAAAATGTAGCTTGAATTATTAAAAAGCAGCTCAGCAAATGGATATGTAAACAAAATTTAGCAAAGTACAGCTACAATAATTATGAAAAAAATTAAAAAGTCAAGTTCTGCTTATAGACAAGATGAAGTATCAAGGATCTATTTAATAAAATTACATTCGTTCTCTGTATAACGAGACTTTGGTCCATAGCAAACCAAATACTTCATAGTGGTCTCATAAGATGATAATGGGCCAGAAAAAGTCCTATTACCTAGTGACATCATAGCCATCATAAAATCTTTGCATAATGCATTAGTCACATGTTTGTGGTAATTAGGTGTAAAAAAATTGTTTTAAACTTTATATAAAAGTACAACACAAGCTATTATGTACAGTACATAATATTTTATAATGATAATAAAGAACTATGTTATATGGTGCATGTACTTGCCAAAGGGAGAAAGTGAGAAATCACCCTCCTGGGGTGGGGAGGACAGTCACATCACAATCCCTCCAATTCTCTGCTCAGAATTTTGGGCACACTCATATATGCAACAAGTGTGATTTTTAAGCTGCCTGGTCCAGGGCTCAAACTGTAGTCGGCCATGTAGAATCTCAGTGCCTTAACCATGATTCCACCTACTGGGCCCTAAAATACTATAATTTTAATCATTACACTATACTCCTCTACTTAGTAAAAAACAACAACAACTTACTTACTGTATAACAGTGTTACATGTTATGCTTGCAGCAACCTCTAAAGTCTTATGTTTCCCTGTCTCTAGATTGCATTATTTTCTCTTGAGCTTGCTTTAGTTTTATATGGTTTTGTTCATCATGGCCCCTAAGCAACAGACTATGCAATAAAGCCTCAGTGTGCAGCAGGCTATACTATTTATGTTTACATAAGTACATTCTATAATGTTCAAACAATGACAAAATTGCCTAATGACACATTCCCCAGAATATTTCATTGTCATTAAGGAACATGACTGTATTTTTAAAAATGTTCAAGATGTGTTCTTTTTAAAGAACGTTTTCAGGCCTAGCCACAGTGGCATAGGTACTTGGGTGCCACTGTACAAGGTGGGGGGTCTCATGGAGTTCCTAGGTTCAGTTCACAGACCAACCAAAAGCAGACTGGGTACAGTGGCATATACCTGTGTCCTACCTAACTGGGAAGCTGGGGAAAGATCAATCACAGCATGGAGACACTGTCTAAAATACCTATTTCCCTCTCTCATTAAAAAAAAAACAAAAACCAAAAACAAAAAAACTTCCTCCGGAAGTCATACATTGGAAAATAGTGGTCCCCCTGATGTGGAGGGGCCTGAAACTCAATAGTCCAAGGTTCGAAATTGCTGACATTTTCTAGGCCTCTGCAAATTCACTCTCTCTCCCCCTTTGAAGTGATAAAACCAACCTGAAATCTTGAGAAGCCAGATACCTCGTTTAACCCTTTCTTCTTTAGAGAAAATCCTGGGCTGCTTCTTCCTGATAGGATACCGTTAATCTACTGAAACTCCCCTTTTTCCCAACTCCCCGATAAAACACTGTGCTTAACCACCATGGTGGTGGTGGTGGGGGGGGGTTTGAGTTTCCTCTGTGCCTGCTATCATAATAAAGAGATAAAGAGTTCTCCTTTTCTCTCCAGAGTGCTGTGTTTTCAACCTTCTGCATCTGTTTTTCCACATTTGGTGCATTGGGCAGGAAGTGACATCAGACTGGCCCTTTGAGACACTGATCCCAGAGCGCACTCCTCCAGGATGGGTACTGTAATGTGAAGAAATAGGCATGCCCTCAACTCGTTTGACAGGATCCCTCAGCTGAGATGCCTCCCCTGAGATCGAGCATTCCTGTACCATCAGACTCCAATTGGAGAGAAGGACCAACTCCTGTTCCAGACCTTGATGCATCATCTGTGGTCAACTCTGGTAATCTGGTAAGCCCTCAGGGATCTGTAGAGTCCTATCAGTCTGACCCACTCAATTTGAGAGGATGAGGAGACCCGTAGACTCTCCTTCAGTTGCAGGACCGGCAGTCATCTGGTAATCAGTTGGTGTGAGGAGGGAATGTATAACCTCTGAGTGAATGTGAAGGTGATGAGCGAAATGTGTTTGTGGCCCCACAGTGCATTGCACTACGGGACATGATTGGGTCTGTACCTGTGGTTCCATGGTGTTTCTAGAAAGGCTAAATGACAAAATTACATGCTGAGAGATGCCCTTCCCTCTCTACATGTGTAATCCAGTGCAGGTTCTATATCCAATTTCTTATTGCCAAGGAAATATACAAAGCCCATTAGGGGCATGGCCAGACAGACACCTGATTGGTCTCCCCTTCAGTGGGGTGGAGAACACCTATCCTTTGTCTGTTTAATGGCATTGTTCATGGGAGGGGGGACACAGGGGCCATTGGGAGGGCTTCCCCTGTAGAGGTGAATAGCCAGAGTAGACATCAGGTCACAAGTTTTGTCTCCAGAAGCTGGGATATGAGTTCCTCTCGACTATGACAAGAGATGTCCTCCCATAGACCATCCTGACTCACCTACTAAGGTTTTTCCCAAAGAGCAAAACCTGTCCACTCTGTCAGGGAAAAGAGAGGGCAGGTATCAATCTCTACCTAGACCACCTTCCCTCATTGATTAGTTTGACAGACTTCTGTTCCCTTTTCGTCCTTCATTCCATCTGCCATCCACCACAGTAATAACTCTCCACTTTAGCACCAGTGTATCAACCGTTGGAAGACCAAGAAGAGGGACCCCAGAGAGAAACCACTGTGATCCTTCTGATTGCAGCCCTTGGTCAAGGCCCCCCTAAAAAAACTAAAACTTATTGCCTATGCTGCCTAGCCCATTAAGCAGACCCCTGGGAGAATATGACATAGCTTCCGAACCAATGGGCTAAGACCCGCCCTCAGGAGCCACTGTAACCTCCAGAGCCTCTTAATCAAGCACTTCCTCCAACCAGTGATCTCCTGTGCCTTTTGGGAAGTGCAGGCATTTAATAACTGAATAAGAGAAATCTGGGATACAATGGGAAAACCTCAATTCAAATCTTCCAAGCCTACTGTGCTGGACTGTATGCTGACTAATTTTAAAAAGGGCTTCTCTGGTGATTACGGAGTTAAATTAAAACCAGAGAGGTTGTGCGCTCTCTGTGAAATTGAATGGCCTATTTTTAAGGTGGGATGGCCACCAGAGGGAACTCTATGCCTACCTACCCTATGGGCCATGTACAGTGTAGTTACTAGAACACCAGGCCATCCTGACCAGTTCCCCTATGCTGAGTCCTGGCTACAAATTGCCCAAGCCCTTCCACCTTGGGCATAGATTTGCATTAGAGGAAAGAATCAATGTACTATTCTGGCCACCAGCATTATGCTGCAGGCACCCACTTCTGGTCAAAAAAAAAAACTTGTGGCTTGGGCCATAATCTTGGGATGACTGCCAGCAACTGCTCCTCATCTTTCTTAATACAGAGGAGCAAAGACCTGGCTGTGAGTGCATGCTGCCAACAATGTGGTAGATTCCGAGGCTTAGGCCAGAATTGCCTTTCCGAGTGAAAAGCCTGGCTGGGATTTCCACATGGAGGATGACTGCATCCATCTCAGCAAATATCGAGAGGTGCCCCTGCAGAGGACAAAAGCCAGTGAAAAGAAACCTATAAACATGGCCAAAACAACAGAAATAATTCAAAAGGCAGATGAACTGCCAGGGCAGTTTTACAATGTCCGGTATGATGCAAAGTGTACCGGATATATACTCCGTTTGACCTGGAGAGCTCTGAAAGCCAGCGGATGATTAATGCTGCACATGTAGCCCAGTCAGCCCCTGGCATCCACAGGAAACTCCAAAAGTAGGAATGTTTTGCTGGGATGAATGCCATCCAACTCATAGAGATTGCTAATCAAGTATTCCTGAACTGAAGTCAGGAGGAGAAAAAGGAAGCAGACCAGTGGATGAAGCAGAAGGCAGCCCTACTGGCCACTGCCCTCAGGCAACTGGATGACCTATCCAGTCCAAGAGGAG